CGTCTTACCCAGGACTGGTACAAAGAACTGTTTGCACTGCTATAAGAAGTGAGGAAGGGGCAGCAGGGGAAGACTCAGAGTCACATGCATGGGCCCCTGAATGGTCCAGCACCCGTGAGTCTCTGCTCTCAAGGTACAAGCCAGGGCTCAACCTCCAGCAGTGGAGAAACATGGCTACTAGCTAAACTCAGTCTCTCATGCTGCCAACTCAAAATAACCCCCTCTGTGGCTTCGGGGATAAGAGCATCCACCTGGTCTGCTAGTAGCTCCATGTATTATAGGTTGAGCAACCTTAATCTGAAAATCTGAAACCTTCTCAAGTGCCGACATGATGCCATAAATAGAAAATTCTCACCTCTGGGGGGTGATTTCTCACTTTCTGTCTCTCTGTCTCTCTGTCTCTCTCTGTCTTTCTGGCGAGCACACACGCCCTATAGCAAAAACCTCTCCAAAAAAAAAAGAAAGAAAATTCCACCTGACCTCATGTGACAGGTCACAGTCAAAACACTGCAATATAAAAACGTGTATAAAGTAACCTTTAGGCTAGGTGGATACAGTCTATATGAAACATAAATATATTTTGTATTTAGACTTGGGTCTCATCTCTAAGATCTCTCATTATGTATATGCAAATATTCCAAAATCTACAAAAAACAAAAAATCCAAAATGCTTCTGGTCCCAAGCATTTCAGATAAGGGCTTCTCAACCTGTATTTGATTAATATTTATTCTTTAAAATAAATATTTATTTAATTTTATTCATCATCATTATTGTAATTTTAGAGAGGCTTGCTATAGGGCATGTGTACTCACCAGTGAGACAGAGAAAGTGAGAAATCACCCCCGATGGTGGATTTCCTTCTCCTCCATTCTCCTTTAGGGATTCTGGGCATGTACGCACACATGCATGGCATGGTTTCAAGTCTTTGGATCCAGGACTCAAACCACAGTCAGCCATGTGGGAGTCCAAGACCTTAACCACTATGCCACATTATTATTGTTTTTTAATTCACTATACGGCATGTGTGTGTGTGTGTGTGTGTGTGTGTGTGTGAGAGAGAGAGAGAGAGAGAGAGAGAGAATGAGAAAACAAGCTGCCAGGTTCAGGACTCATACTGCAGTTGGGCATGAGGGAGTCCAGCATTTTAACCACCATGCCACTTGCTGACTCCTCAAACTGTATTTTAAAATCCTCATCCAGTTGGCCACTGAATGTCTCCTTCAGACCAAGCAAGCTGAGGCCCTATCTTTCCAAAAAGGAAGGAAGGATACCTGAGTTCTGGATAGACATTCTCCAGGTACCACTTGAAGCTCTGGCAGTGCAGATTCTTCCTCAGGTCCAGTCTGCTCTCAATGCTGGGGGGAGGGGAGGAAGGGGGGACAGAACAAAGCACAGCTGTCAGTGACAGGCACCAGTTGTACCAGCCCAGGTTAGTGACTAACCCATGCCCATGCTCTGCACCCACATCCCTCCAAAGGGTGCTGGGGAAATAAACTAAGGAGAGATTTCTATAGCTCTAGACAGAGCTATGGAAACAGCAATAGCTCAAAATGGTCCAGAAATGACACTGAAGATTCATGTTTTTACTTGAAAATGAAATTTGGGGATGTTTTTACTTTTCATTAAAAACAAAGCTGCACACTGAACATTCAGTGTGCTGTTAATAATTCACTGCTGGGGCTCTGAGTCTATTTACATTCTTTGTTTGGGTTCTGCAATTGAAAGAACACTTCTCTCTGCCTCAGCCTCAAAGAATCCTCTTCTCTGGCTAGTTCTGGGGCCCGGTAATGTATTTAGAGATCAAATATTCACTGAGCACCTACTAAGTGTCAGGCGCTGTATCCAATGTGGGATTGAAGCAGCAAATAAAAGACAATGGAACAAGTCATCATAGCCCCGTGTGACAAGGGTGAGCATGGAGGGGTTGGGGAATGGGAACCCAGAATGACAGCTTCAGAAGTATGCCCCTGATTGTTGGGTCTGTGGTGGCCAAGGTGATAATAGTGGTATCTAGAAGGAAATGTGGACATTACACAGACAAACCAGACAGTGGACAAGGTAGGGGCCCCTGCGGTAGGTGAGAGAAAAGCAAAGACAGGTTAGTGCATGTGAAGAATAAGAGAAGTTCCATGGGCAGAACGGGGCTTCAAGGTATTTTTTTATTTTTAATTTTTGGAGAGGTTTTTGCTATAGGGCATGTGCACTTGCCAGAAAGACAGAGGAAGACAGAGAGATACAAAGTGAGAAATCACCCCCAAGTGGGAATGGCCATGCCACAATCCCTTCTCCTCCATTTTCCTCTCGGGAACCTAGGCAAGCATGCACATGTACCTGCCATGAGTTTAAGCCACCAGGTCCGGGACTCGAACTGCAGTCGACTACATGGGAGTCCAGCAACATAGCCATTATGCCAACTGCTAGTCCCAAGATCTTAAACTAGATGTGTATGTGAATGTATGACAAGGAGGGGAAGCACTGGGATCAAAGTGAAGACTGACCATAGAGGCTCCTAGGAGGCACTGTTGAAGAGCCTGGACTTTTTCTTTTTCTTTTTCTTTTAAGGGATTGGGATGAAACTGATGGCTCTAAGCAGAACATAATATAATGATGTTTGCACCTTAAGAGTCCCTTCCTGATAAGTCTGATGAGGCAGAACTGGGACAGGAAGGGCAGAAGGTGGCTGTGGAAACCCTGGGGTGATCATGCATTCAAATAGGGATGTGGGGTGGGAATGGAAGGTGACAGGGTCTATCCTACTCATCTCCTCCACCAGTGACCATCTGAGTTCCATTTACACCCTGTGCTTCCTGAGCAACCACTCCAGCCCCAAGACTGTGCCAGAACTTCTCATACGAGTAAAGCACTAACCACATCTCCTCCCTGGACTTCACGTTCTATGGAGATAGGAAGGACATCAAGTTTTGTAGATCTTTGATGTCTAGCAAAGACCTGGAAGCTCAGCCGAGTGAGGCAGCAGTGCCAGGACTTAGTGATCACGTGGATGGGGAGGGGAGGGTGAGTGAAAAGTCAAGGTTGGTATCTGGACTTCTGACTTGGGGAACAGGGTGAAGGAAAGGCTATTCTTGGGGACAAGGAATATAAGATGATGAGAATGTTTAGAAGCCAACTTTGTGAGTTTAGTTTGTGACATGGTGAATTAGAGGTGCCTGGGAGACAACCAGGTGGAGATGTCCAGTTAACACTTGGAGATAAGCGACTGGAACCCAGAGGAGAGATCCAGTTAGAGAGAGAGGAGTGGAGGCCAGGGAAAATAGATAGTAAGAAGTGGGCTTATGACAGACTCTCAGGATAAAACAAGATAGAAGTGGGACTAGGAAACTAAGCTTCCAAATGGAACCAAGAAGGCAAAGACTAGCCACAGAAGAAAAGTCAAGGCTGCAGTGTTCTGGAAGTCAGGGACCAGAGGCACACAAGAGGGGTATAGGCTTAAGAGAAGCCTCATACTAATGGGCAGCAGAAGAGGACAGTAGTGGATGCAAGGAAGTTCAGGGAGCCAGGTGAGAGGAGTCCCTGAGGATAGGGATGAAGAGAGGTAGACCACTGTTTCACAAAGCTGGGCTCAGAGTGGGTGGAAAAAGACAGGGCTGTAGGTGACAATGTTTCATTAAAGGAGAGATTTTATAGTTTTTCTCTCCTCCTGCTCTCTGGTCAAATTAAAATAAATCAAGTTAAATAAAATAATTCTTAAAAAATAAGATGTAAAACCCTGACTACATTTAAATGGAGAAGAGAATGATGAGTAGAGAACAGAGAACAGGGAGGGAGTAGAAGCACCTGGAAGGCAAAGGCTCCTAGGGGAGAGGGTCCCCCACCTGACTGCACATTAGAAGCACTAGGGGTCTTTTCTTAAATGACAGCAGTTTTGAAGGCCCCTAAGTGGTTCCAATGTGCAAATGGGTGTGGGTATCTTTCTCCCCTAGAAATTTGGGAACTAGTTTGGGAACCCCTCTCCCCTAGAACCTTGTCCTCTAACTGTGGACCTCAGACCAGCAGCATCGGCATCACACCACCTGGGAACTTATTAGAAATTCAGGCCTCTGGAATCGGAATCCGCATTTTAACAAGATCCCCAGGAGATCTCAGTGCACATTAAAATTTGAGAGGCCCTGCTCCAGGAGACAGGAGGAGATGAAGCCCAGCAGTGGGAACTCGATAAATGTTGATTCATGAATGAATGCAGAAGCGAATGGTGCATCCGAGTACAGGTGAAGGGCTGGCCTGGCACAGTGGGAAGCACACCCTGTCTTTGGAGGCAAGAGAGACAGAGAAGGACAGTGCGGATTCAGTGAAGTTAACGGGCTGGGGTGTCTTAGGAAGTTGATGGTGTCTACATTGTCTGTAAAACAGGAGTCATTTGCTGCCATTGAAAACAGGGGGATATACTTGGGAGTAGGGAGAGTGGAGAAGGTTTAATGAAGATTGAGGGTAAATGCTGGCTAGGCAAGACAGCAGGGCCAAAGGGCATCTTGCTGCCTCACTGAGACCATGGCCACAGAGTATTACTAGTGGCACCAGCTGGTATTTCCTGGTCCTGTCAGCAGCCTGTGTGCAAGGGAGGGAGAGGTACAAAGCCAGCCTCCTCCAGGTTGAGAAAACTTTGTAGGGAAGCAGGGAAGGGCACTTCCTGATAGACAGGAACCAAAGGTCTGAGAACAAGACCTCCTGAGCTCTGTCTTTGCTTGAAGGTGGAACTGGAGCTGGAGTGGGAGTGGGAGGTAAGG